TTAAAAAGTCGAAATTAAGACATACTTATGTCATAATTATGAGAAAAAAGTTGAAATTTAGATAAAAAGTCAAAAGTATGACACAAGTCATAATTATGAGATACAAAAGTCAAAATTATGACAGACTTAAGTCATAATTATGAGAAAAAAGTCTAAATTATGACTTCAATCAAAATTATAACTTTAAATGTAATAATTATGAGATAAAAATCAAAATTACGACATTAAAAGTCATAATTATGAGATAAATCGAAATTATGGCTTTAAAAGACAAAATTATGACTTAAGTCATAATTACGAGATAAAAAATAAAGATAAAAAAATTATGACGTATAAAGTCATAAAGTCACAAAGTATAAAGTTGAAATTGAGATAAAAAGTCAAAATTATAAAATTGAGATAAAAAGTCAAAATTTTCTCCAATATCTTTATATTTGAATAATAACTGTTGGGAAAAAACGTGCATATATATATATATATATATATATATATATGCACGCATGCACGCACGCACACACACATATATATAGTAAACTATTTTTTAATAAATTACCCCATCAAGCTGGACATGTTTTACATGGGGTTAAAAGCTCAATAAATTCTTTATTTTCCCCTGAGAAATAATGGTGGAAATATTTTACAGTTTTTTTCTTCTAACTAAATATACATATTCACTTTCAAAAAAGTGAGAAATACTCACTGGAGTAAAAACGTGACAACTAGCCACGGTCTCCCTGATATATCATGCTACTGAAAGATTACCATAGTACACACAATCAGACACATACATACATATAAATGTTCATACAATGTGATCAAACACTTGCATGTTAGTACAATTCAGCTAAGCCAGCTAAACACCAGCTTGTTCAAGCTGGTAGACCAGCTAGACCAGCTTAAACCAGCCAAGACCGGCAAAGCGCCATAGTTCGGTTCAGGTTTTTCAGCATGTTGAACCAAATCAAGTCATCATCCCAGCAGCATTGGTGGGATAATTACTTCAGTGGAAACAAATCTAAACAGGGATGGACTTCAATTACAGCCTGGGGAACTGGGGCGCAAAACTTCTCAAAAGAGAGACATGGAAAGGGTGTCAGGCTTTTGAGAGGAGATAATTGGGACCAGATCTGAACATGGATTGATTTTTGGGGATTGTGCCACTCGGAAAGCAAGCCAAGGCAGTCTTGAATGAGCTTCACTGTGCCAAATAACCCTTGTGAATGGATTGAGATGGAAAGGGGGAGTTAGTTGTTCATCTCAGCTACATCTCCATCTAAAATAACCAGAGGCTCTGAAATGTCAAAATAAGTTATTATTAGTTATTAAGCAATTGCTCCATGTTTTTGGCTTATGTTTAGAATTAGGCCTAAAAAAAAAAAATCAAGGAAAGTAAATTGTTCAACCTGACTGAATGTGTTTGGAAAGGTGGCATGAGAGGCTATAAACACTAATTCAAGCTGTCTCTATTGTCTATTTTACATTTATTAGATTTAATTGAGTGAGTGAAGTGCTTACAAAAGGCATTTTGTGTTTACTTCACGCTCCACCTGATTATTTATCTCATTAGGAGGCGGGAAATGAAGACACAAAGAACAATGGTACTCAGTGACCTGTGCAGTATTAGAATGAAGTGATAAATTGACTCAGGTCACAACACATTAGCATGATCACTTCTCACCAGTTTTCATTTAAAGGTTTGTCATTATCATCCATTATCTACCACAGGACGGGACAAAGTCTGGAGCTTGTGTGTTGTTGCTGCCATCTTGTGGGCAACACTCACCTCACAGCATTATATGCAATATTATACAGCATTATAATACACCACTGATGCCATCTAGTGGTTAAATAGCCACACAACAAAGAGTGTGCAATAAAAAAGGCAATAAAAAGAAATCAAATAAAGTCCAGGCAGAGTATATATACACTTGTAGAGTGAAGTAAAGTAAGGTAAAGTAAAGTAAAATAAATTAAAACCAACTAAATGACAAAACATACAAGAATGAAGAATGTATGTTTTCCTCTTCTATTTAAGTAGGTTAAATTTAGTCTTTCTAATTCACTTTCTATTGACTATTTTAACATTATTCGTGGTTGTCCTTTTGTTTATATTTTTATTGTATTTCAAATTAATGTGCATAATTCTCAAAAAATATCAAGGTCCTCATGTTACAACTACATATACATCATGAATTATAAAATTATAAATAAACTGTAATATAAAATGGCATGGGAAACACTGACTTTAATCGTTTCTTTGCAATTAAACCGTGTAATGTGGATCTATTTTTCATTCACAATTTGCAAAGGAGATCAAGTACCACAAAAATAGACATCTAATTCTCCTTATGAGTCATTCTTTAATAACAAGTAATGTAAACATACTGGCCATTTCCAAACTTTCATAGTAATCGTTTCACTTGGTCAAATCAAAATATTGTCTTTGCGTTCACACAGTACTCACAGCTCAAGTTGTTCTTGTCTCATTGGAAAATGGTGTTTTGATGAAGTCTGTATAACTGGCCTACAGGGTGAACTGTTGTTGGCTGGTTACTTCAGACAGCTTCTCTTCATGGGCCATTACTGAGCGGCTCTCACAGGGATCAGTACAATTTAACCATGAAATGTGGAGGGGAAAACAGTGTCAGAATCAGTCGGGTGCCCGATGGTGGGAATATAGATAAGAGTTCAGTCAAGCATGTTTGGATCTGATTTACAAGCTTCAAATGGAAGAATTAACAAGTTTAGTACTGCAACCTCAACTATGATAAATGTTTATAGAACAAACTGATTTTACATTATATTCAGGTTATGCAATGTACTTCACCTGACCTTGTATTGATTATAATGAGAAATGTTTCATGAGCAGCAAATCAGCATATTACAATGATTTCTGAAGGATCACGTGACACTGGAAACTGGAGTAATGATGTCACACAGGAATAAATTACATTTGAAAATACACTGAAATATTATTTATTTTAAATTGAAATAATATTTCACAATATTACTGCATTTTTTGTTAAATAAATGCAAATATGATGAGACTACTTTTTAAAAACATAAAAAAATTGTACCGACACAAACTGTATATTATTCTAATATAATTTAATTTTGTGTAAAAATGTCTCTTAACTAATAAGTCCAATTAAATTCTAAATGAACAAAGATATAATAGCAGATATTACCTGTGATTCATTTGCCACACTGGAAATGGAAGGTCAAGGTAAAAGCACCAAGTACTCAGCGGTATTCCACAGGGATCGGTATTCGGGCCACTTTTATTTTACCTCGTGTTCCAGTTTTACAAGGCTCTCAGAGTGTTAACAGACAGTCTGTCCTTGAGTTCCTTAGTCATGTCAACACCTATAGAAAACAGAACCTACAGAAGATGCAGATGCAGCTATCCATGATCTTGTTTTCCTCAGCGATAAATGAGTGTACAGGCAGGTCAAATGGCAATGACGTTCCATAGCTGTGAACCGCTTCATGAACTGTGAGGGGAAAATACAAAGAGGAGAGAGGTGAGAAGGATGGCAAGGTGTTTTATAGCTGAGGATGACAGAGAAAAACAGAGCTGTTGAAAATGACTGAATCATGGGTGTGAATTGAATTGAATGTTTTGAACAGTGCCTGCTTTCATAATGTTGATTTGTTGGCCTGGATTTGAAGTGTGGCTGAAAGAGTAAACTCACAGAAACTTCTAAATTGAAATCAGTTTTGTATGTAGACATAGTTTGTATTCATTACGCGTTCATAGAAGCTAAACAAATCTATACAGTGTGTGATAATGCAATTCTAATCATCAGGGGTTAATGGCGCACATGCATTCAAATCGACTAGATTATAAAGAGTGTTAACAGACAGTCTGTCCTTGAGTTCCTTAGTCATGTCAACACCTATAGAAAACAGAACTTACAGAAGATGCAGATGCAGCTATCCATGATCTTGTTTTCCTCAGCGATAAATGAGTGTACAGGCAGGTCAAATGGCAATGACGTTCCATAGCTGTGAACCGCTTCATGAACTGTGAGGGGAAAATACAAAGAGGAGAGAGGTGAGAAGGATGGCAAGGTGTTTTATAGCTGAGGATGACAGAGAAAAACAGAGCTGTTGAAAATGACTGAATCATGGGTGTGAATTGAATTGAATGTTTTGAACAGTGCCTGCTTTCATAATGTTGATTTGTTGGCCTGGATTTGAAGTGTGGCTGAAAGAGTAAACTCACAGAAACTTCTAAATTGAAATCAGTTTTGTATGTAGACATAGTTTGTATTCATTACGCGTTCATAGAAGCTAAACAAATCTATACAGTGTGTGATAATGCAATTCTAATCATCAGGGGTTAATGGCGCACATGCATTCAAATCGACTAGATTATAAGACAAATATTGTTGTAGTTAAATGTATTATATACACTACTGTTGAATTGTCAGCATCATTACTCCAGTCTTTAGTGTAACACGATCCTTCAGAAATTATTCTAATATGCTGATTTGCTGCTCAAGAAATAGTTCTTATTATTATAAATGTTGAAAGTAGCTGTGCTGCTGGACATTTTTGTGGAAACAGTTATACATATTTTTCGGGATTCTTTAATGAATAGGACAGAATTGATTTAAAGCCGTTTTTGTAACAGTGCAAAAGTTTTTACTGTCAATTTTGATGAATTTAATGCACTCTTGTTGAATAAAACTATAAATTTCTTTCAAATAATAATAAAAAAATTGACTAAATGATAATGCGTGGCACATTCTATACTTTTGCAATGCTTAATATTTGAAACAACCCAATAAAATCATCAGTCTTTCAGAGACTGAAGTTGGAAAACACTCTTTTTAAGAATTTTAGTTCTTCTTAAGTGTTCCCTTAATCTTCAGAATCTTTTTTCCTAATCTTTTTTTTCAACTACAAAATATTCTTAACTTTTTTTTAGTTAGAAAAATAAAACAACATTTAAGAAGAATTTTATTTTTAATGTTCCGTGAATCCGGCCCCAGAACAAGATAACCATGGTATATGTAACCTGTTAGGTATCTGGTTGACAAATGACATGTTCAAAACGCCCAAAATACAAAATGTACATCCTTTATGTTATAAAAATAGAAATTTCATACAATGAAATACATTCAGCCTTTTTTTCAACGAGTATACAGTTAAATAGCAGTCATTCTGTGATATTTACACTACTCATTCTCTCTATAATCAGTTCTTTCTTTCAGTTCTGGCACTGTTCCAGGGCAATCTTAAATTGGCCAATCTGGATTATTTAAGGTCCGGGGCAATTTCCTTTTCCTGGTGCTCTTAGACGGGATCTGGGGTTTGTAGTCTTCTCCAGAGCCAAAGTCCAGGCTTTCCTGGGTGTCCCTCCAATTGTCCGGGGCAGATGGGAAATCCTCTACGGAGTGCAATGGTCTGCTGAACACTTTGTTCTGCAACTCTGCGATGTCGTTACGAATGTCAGCCATCATGAGTAACAGGAAGTCAAAGGATCCTGGCGGGCCCTGAAAACACAAACACACTCATCATCACATGAAATTCTAGGTTGCTGGAGTATGAGTTATCCCACACCTACAGGATTAACAGAAATGGGCATTAAGCAATCAAGTAAAATACAGATGAGTCACATTTTCAACATACTGTCTGTCTTTCTGTATATCTTCCTGTATGAGCTGTTCCTCCCTTCCTGTTGAGCTTGGATACTTGATTTACAGTAACTTTTCAGAGTTTAGATTTCTTTAAACACTGTGTACACCGGAAGTGATTGCTGTTGCACCATAGCAGCTTGCAGTTGTCTGCACTGCCATCAATTACGGTTAATTAAGCTAAATACATGAATAATAAAACTGTAAGTCTTATAATTTAAATTAATGTAAATATCACATTTTAAAATTAATTTACTTTGAACATTCTAAGGATTTGGCTAAAATAATGCATGCAAAATCACTGAAAATAGGAAAACAAAAAATATTTACCCATTATTCCAATTTCCTATTTTTTGCATGCATGCATTATATATATATATATATATATATATATATATATATATATATATATATATATATATATATGTTCACGGAGAGGTAGTAAGCGGCCCAGATGTTTTTGATTTGCGAATACAAAGCCACAAAAACTTTCTATACAAACATGTAGGCTAATAGAAGTGCACACATTATACATGGATCAACCTTGAACTTCTGCATTGGAAAAGTGTGCTTATGTAGGCCTGAAACCTAAATATGTGAACATAAACGCTTCTGGCTAAGCTAGCTCGGTTGTGTTGTGTTCTGAAATGTCTGAAGGTGCAATTCATAAAGCGACACAGGTATGTTCTGAATTACTGGTGTTGATTTGAAGGCTGTGAAGAGTACTTCTAGCCAGTTTTCTCTTGTAGATCAATTACGGACAATCAAGGGACAATCAATCTGCTTAAAGTTAGTTAAACTGTTGACATATTTATTGCTAGCTACCTGAATAATAACATCCGGTTTATTGCACTGACTAGAGGTGTAACAATACACTCATGTCATGATTCAGTTCGATACTTGATATTGATCTCTCAATACCTTAAACAAAGCTGAAATGGTTTAAATAGTTTTTTTTGTAATTTTTACTTCTTAAACTTATAATAAACAGTTAACAAAAGCACTGTTCATTAAAAAGTTACATTTTGGTATTACCGTACATGAGGAATGGACTACATACATTTAAAAAATGTTAAATAATTTTTTATGTATATATTTTAATTTTCTCTCTCTCTCTCTCTCTCTATATATTATTAAATGTTTTTTACAGTGTCCTTGTTACACGCTACATGTAATTACTACAGTAACAACTATAAATTATGCATAAAATTACATGCAACTAGCTTTAAACCAGACCTTAATCCTAACTACATTGTAACAAGGACACCTTAAATAAAGTGTAACCTTAATTTAATGATAATAATTGATTAACATGAAAGCTCAAATGTGTGACCTTCTTGGTTTACCTTATTTTATGTTTAATTAAATCTGTCCAAACTTTCATTTTGAGTGAACTATACACAATACGTACATCATCAATACATATTTCTGCAGTTTTGTATTGCAATATATTGTGAGAATATATTGTTACACCACTAGAATAGTGTCAGGATCATGGACTGTCTGTCATGTTTTGCCCCGGTTTCTGTTCCCTTATTTGGTCATGCTCCTGTCCTCATTTTGTTAATTAGTTTCATTAGCTATCCCATGCACCTGTGTTTCCCCAATCATCCCCTGTATTTAAGTCCCAGTCTGTGCAGTCTGTCTCTGTCAGGTCTACGTGTGTTGCTCAAGCTCCTGTTGTGGATTATTCCCAGTGTTTCTTCGATTAAAGACTGTTAAATGCTTCCTCGTGACTCCAGCGTGTTCCCTGAACAGCATAACGTGACAAATAAGACATTTGAAGGCAACTTTTTACCGCCGCAGTAATGCAAAAAATCATATACGTAATGCAAAATGCAGTAATGCAAAAAATATCATATATGAACTCATATGCACTTGCAATATCTCGAACATTTGCATATACATTTGTATAATTGTGAAAAGAATGATTCTGGTTTCATTTTTAGTTATGTATTTGAATGTAGAAGTTGTCTATAAATCAGTCTCCAAGCCTAGCCTAGTTGGCTTTAAAAGACCTACCTCAATTCTTTTAACTTTTTATATAATATTTAGCAAAAACAGTCCATTTTTTGGTACTGTTTTAAGACCATGAGCTAGCAGGTAATGGTTAGACTTGAGAGTGAACGACAGTACTGTACTATGCTTGATATCTTTAAAATATCTGTAGTTCACAAACTCTGAGAGAGTTATATAAAAATATACAATGATATGGTAAAATACATATATGATATCAAAGCTTTAATATACCATGATTATCAATGGTGAATTGTGAAATCCCTCTTTGTAATTTTCCTCAATATTTGGACTAATCATATTTGCCATTTCAAGAACGTAATAATGGTGTTTTGACATTCTAAAATATCTGCAACTCGTCCTGCCATCTATGATGTCATATTTGACCAGACGCCATCCAAGAGTTTATTTCATTAGCGATCGGTCACCATTGATCTTAAACATCTTTATCCTGTTTTTCCAAATATTTGAATTCCACACATGGAAAACAGCCCTTGGCCACAGCTTTGAAAAGTAGTGGACAGAGATAAAGATAGACAGAAAACATACCGTACCTTCATGCCATCTCTCCCTGGAGCCCCGGGTGGACCCTACGAACACACACAAAAACATCCCGATTAAACACACAACCATACATATCTATTAAAATTACTGGACTTTTCCCCCATCAAATATATAGGTTTAATTTTTTATGACTGCATAAGGAAAAGATGTGTACTTTATACTGTATTATACATTTATTTATCCCAATTTTTATCAACAGTTTGCCTTTCAATATGTAACAAATCAATTTATAAAATAAACAAATATTCCATGTGGTCTCTCAATTAATATGAAGTCATGAAACAGCAAGCAAATCACTAGAAAAATGCAGTTTATAAAAAGTCTTTATTGTGCTGTAAAAAAGTTTATTAATGAAACTTGCAGCTTTAGAATTGTGATAAATAAATACATGCATACATAACATACACACATATTTAAAAGTACCTAAAATATACAATTGTTCATGTTTAAAATTTCAGTTTAGAAATATGATATAATCGTTAAAAAAATATTTATCTTGCTGTACAAATATGATCTAATTCAATAGAGAAAAGAGAATTGTACATATAGAAAGAACCTAAAATATTCAGTTGTTCATGTTTAAAAAGTTAAGTTTAGAAATACAGTAATGTGATTGTTAAAAAAAATGTGATGTTAAAATTGAATTAAAAAATATTAATGAAACTTGCAGCTTTAGAATTGAAATCAATCAATAATATACAGTTGTTCATGTATAAAAAGTTCAGTTTAGAAATATAGCAATTTGATTGTTAAAAAATGTGATTGTTAATATAAAAATATTTATTAATGAAACTTGCAGCTTTAGAATGGTCATAAATAAGTAAATAAATAAATAATATAAAATTGTTTAAAAGTTCAGTTTAGAAACACAAATGTAACGAAGTCTATCATGCTGTAAAAATATTATATTGTAAATACCTTTTTATTTTAAATGAATGAATGAATGCATGAATTTATGCTTAAAGATTCATCTCTGAAAAGGCTTCATAAAATAGCTTTTTTATCTGACCAAAACCATATGACAGCTAAAGGCCAAACTAAGGACCCTAGGCTCTCCAAGACAGACATATTTATATTCATTGAATTATAGATTTGATGGTCCTATTCATTCAACTCTCAAATATTTTCACACATCAAATCATGCCTGTCAAGATCTCTAGGGCAGATCTGAGCCATATTTGTACCAGAATGGAAAACATGATTCATCAATCTAAAAATACGGCATTGAATTCTTCATGCGGGTGATTAGAGAGAGCTAGTTCTGGGCCGGCAGCAACGTCAACAGTCCTTTAGTAAAGACACCGAGGGCATGCGTTCACGGCCGGAGCGGTTGTGACAGACAGGGGAGGCCCATAACTACACATGACTTATATTTATGCACATGCAAAACACTACAAGATCCCACAGACGCAGCTCCTTAGCCAGCGTTTTCCAAAAACACTGCATAACTTCTCATTTATCAAATTAAGAACTGAATCTTTGAGCACTCTTGAACTAAATTCACGTTATGAGCTACGACTCCAGAGCATTGAAGGGCTCATGTTTCTAGGATTCATAAATTACTGCAATACTTCAGCAGTATTTTTCTTCATTGACGACTTGTGCTTCAGCGATGAGGTCCAATGCATTAAAAGCAAAAGGTCGACTGTATCGGACGGGTTAACAGTCGGCCTCAAGAAGCACTCAGGCCAAAGAAAGCAACCCATGTGCAGTAACGCAGTCAGCCTTTTCCCTGTTATTGCCATTATCATTTGTCAACATCCAGAGGTAGGATGAATGCTGTGCTCTGGTATATTGATAAATGTAATGTTTCTACACACACAAACTATAAGAAAAGTTTGGCACACAACCAGCTTTCTGGTAGGAAATATATCAAGCAACAATCAAAAAGAACAGGATCAAACATGATAACGGAGGACAGAGTTAGAAGAAAAGAACAAAAAAGGAATATGAAAGTGCTTCCTGTTACCCGTCCTAGTTTCCACCCCACCTGCAAAGACGCCCCCCTTCAGAGAGTCAGAGGTCAGCCAGCTGAAGGTCAGGGGGTTTGGGGGACACGTGTTCAAACGGCGGCCCAGGCGGAGGTGACCCAGCTAGGCATGAGTCGATAGCAAAATCTGGAAAGCTAAAAATGCAGCTAGACACTTGCTATTAAAGTCACATCTCTACTAAATATCAACTAACTAAATAAATATTAAGTAATTTAAAGTAAATTAAAAAAATAATAGATGTATTAATTTATAACGTTAACATTAAAATTTATTTATTAAAATTAAAAATAAAATAATTGAATAATAATATATGTAAAATTATTTATTAATACAAAAACATTAGGTAACACTTTAGTATAGGGACCAACTCTCACTATTAAGTAGTTGCTTATTAGCATGCCTATTATTAACATATTGGCTGTTTATTAATGCTTATAAAGCACATATTCTGCACAACCATATTCTACATCCCTAATCCTACCCAATATCTAAATTTAACAACTACCTTACTATTACTATTAATAAGCAGCAAATTATGAGTTCGAGGCAAAAGTTGTAGTTAATGGTTTGTTAATGGCGATAATTCGACTTTAAAATAAAGTGTGACCAAATATTATATTATATGATATTATATTAACATTAAATATTAATAGTTAAAGTTTCAAAGTGCCTAAAGTGTTAACGTGATATTTTATAAACTTCTATGACACTTTATGAACTTTCCAATCTCTCATTTATTTAAAGGGGTCATATGATGCGATTTCAAGTTTTCCTTTCTCTTTAGAGTGTTACAAGCTGTTCGTGAATAGATAAGATCCCTAAAGTTGCAAAGACTAAAGTCTCAAACCCAAAAAGATAACTTTATAAAAGTTAAGACTGGTCCACGCCCTCCTAAAATGCCTCGTTTAAACACGCCCCCACATGTGTGGGAAGATTTGCATAACACCGCCCAAATATTCACGCAAAGAAAGAAGGCGTAAATTTATTGATGCTGCCACAGCCGCAGAGAGATGCTGTGTGTTTCGTTGCGAAAGCGAAAATACTTTGTTTGGTCTTCTAAAAGAGGACACGACTAGAAATCAGTGGTTAAGTTGTATTTACAACACTGTTCCAGAACAGTTCAACCCAAATATTCAGATGTGTCCAGCGCATTTTATGGAGGACTGTTTCCTGATCCTGGGAGAGTAACACTACAATGCCGGCTGTTCTGACTCACAGTCTGTAAGTAGGTTTTCATATTTAAAGAATTTGCCACTGACAATTCAAACATGAGTTTTGAGCAGTGTAGAGTAGCGCTTCTTGTTTGTCATTTCTCCGATCACAAATGCAGACATGGTTTTATATTTACGCGGCGCGATGCAACGCAATGCGTAAAAAGACCATATAAGTCATTATAATCCATAATTATGTCCCCACTGGATGCAACAAATGCCTCGTTTATAATGGGTTTTAATGTTTTTGTCTCGTCGCTCCGGGACACAGCATCACAGTATGGTAAGGGGCGTAACATTCCCGTCACACGCTTGAGGTATTCGGCCAATCACAATGCACTGGACAGCTGGCCAATCAGAGCACACCTCGCTTTTCAGACCGATGAGCTTTGTAAAAATCGACGTGTTTCAGAAAGGCGGGGCATAAAGGACAAACAACAACGTACAGTATGTGGAATATAATCAGTTTTTTTAACCTTAAACCGCATAAACACATTTCATTACACCAAATACACCAAATAATGTTCTATTTAGCAACATCATATGAGCCCTTTAAATGAAAAATGTAATAAAATGTTTTATGATTTTTATGTTTTATGATTTAAAATGTATATATTTCTTAATTGATAACATTAATATTAAAATGTATTAAAATAATATAAAAATATTAATACAATTAAATTACAATTAAAAAAGTAATACAATTATTTAAATACATTGAAATAGTAATGTTATAAATTAATAAATGTATTAATATTTAAATATTTTGAAATGCCATTTTTATGAAAATGCCAAAATAAAGTAAGAATGTTGGTTTAATTGAACTTAAAGCCACTTCCATACTTTATTTAAATTTAAAATGTAATTTAGTTAAATATTAATATTTACTAATTAATGAATTAATTGAGTAATATAAAAATATTTAATAATAATACATGTATATATGTATAGCCTAAATGTGTACAAGCATATTTGAGTCAGCTCTGCTTTCAAAAAAAAAATCTTATATCTTATATATTAAAAATATCACAGACATTGCTGCATACATGTAAAAAGAAAAAAAATAATAAGTGTGATTGGATTTTTAAAAATTATTATTTTAAATTTGGTCAACTTTCAAATGTGGTCCTAAATTAAACATCAAATCTGTTCTAATTGCCTGTGATTGTGCCATCACAACTCAAGGAAGAATGTAAAGTCTGTATAACAATGCCCTGCAACCACTCCACCACACCCTGGCATCATGGTGGCAGCTGTATGCTCAAGCAATCACTACTGACATTTGTTGTTGAATTGTACTCTAATGATATAATTCGCATGAATGATGGGATGTTACTGTAAGCAGTCTTTGAAAATGAGACAGCGTATATCTTTTTTTGGCAGGGTCACTTTGATATGGCACAATGATTAACATAAAAACTGTTAATGGTACTTCACGTCAAAAAAAGTGTGTCTTGGCAGAGCATTAAATGTAAACACAGTCAGTAATATCTTAAGTCAATGTAAACGATCAGGACATAAAAACGTGTGTGTGTCAAAATACTGGATCAGTCCATTAAGCCTTGCAGTGTTACAGTGTGATAAATTTGCACAATCTCTTTACATAAATCTAGATTTGTCCCAAGCAGACCAAAGCAACCGTGAGAAGCAGGATATTTTGTTGCACTCTCATTGGTCCAAAAGCCAACAACCACATATGCTAGAAGTGCGAACACTCTGAGTGTGATGATATGAGTGCAAATGAAACCGATCCTGCACCTGCTTATCCAGTTTCACTCTTACAAGGCTGCTGAAACTATTAAGAGCCTCCCGTAAAAGCAAACACGAAGTGGAATTGCATCCAAAAACAAAGAATTCCATGGCTATGAGAGCTCAAAACTGATTAAGTCCCAAATGAGACCAGACAGTACAGATTTACTCAGCGTTCGTGACCTTAGAGTAAAAATATTTCAAGTACAAATGCATCTGAAGTGTTTAAAGAAAACATTCAGTGACATTTCTAGTGTCAACAACATACCGGATTGCTCAGTAGATCTACAAATATCCACGGTCGTGAACTTAAGACATTGTCTCCAGAGGCTAGATACACACATATTGCAAAGTGATGGTTCGGCTGAAGAGGTTAACGTTAGAAAGTCTGCTGTGATTCACAGCGCTTGTAATTTGAGTGTGAAAAAGTGTGTGTGTGTGAGATGATAATTCATTATGTCCGTCGGTCTGGGGAAGAATGTGTGAAAGAGTAATGAGGGTTAACAGTCCATAACAGGAAGTGTAAAGCGTGTCACCGTCGAAAGCAACCACAGGTCAGTGAGCTGCAACACCTTCATGCTGTGTCTAAAATGAAGCTTGGCTCAATAAATCTGCAAATGCTGTGTAACAATGAAGATCAAGTGCAACTAACAATTAGGAAGTTACTCAGCATCTTAAGAATGTAAGTGTAATGCGATGTTTATCATCTTTACAGCAGGGGGGCTCAATCCTACTCCTGGAGGCCTGACTTCCTGCAGTGGTTATGTCTAAATGCCTGATCCCAGCAAGTTTAGATTTCCAGCATTAAGGACACACGTCACGTTTTCAAACACAACAATGCATCTCTATTAACTCTTACATCCACTTCTGAAATATTGAACTATGATAATCTGCTATTTTTAGCCAAAGGCTAAGTCTTTTCTGCCTGTGCGACAAAATTTTTTGTGCGGTCGCACTGGCGCGACCACCGCGTTGGTGAACTCATAAGCGCTGCAATTTCTGTTGCATATGAGAAACATCAAACGGCAAACGAAACTGAAAGCATAACGAAACGGCGCTTAGAGAGTATACTCGCCGCGTCAGAACGAGCGCGAAGGTGTGCGAAGCACTGTCACCATTAGTTTTTCTTTTCTTTTTGTTTTCATTTTTGAAAAACTTGTAGGCTATACAGTGCATGAAAAGCAAACTGGTGCTCTTCTGTTTCTTTTGGTGTATGACTCCCCCTTGTCTCGTATAAAAAGCACAATAATCGCAGCTGTCTGAAACAACCGCGGTTACATCAAATAATCGCGATTAGACGGTTATTTAATTATCGCGACAGGCCTATGTACAATAATAAAATACAATAATGTACAATGTATTTTTAATATGTGTACATATTAAAAATGGTTTTCCATAATTTAAATAAAACTGAAATATAAATAAAAAATTTAATAAAAAATTAAATTATTAAATGAAAATATAATACATGATATTACATCGTATTATGCACACAACTGAAATATAAATAAAAAGTAAAAAATAAATATTTGATGAAATGTCAACTTCAATGAAAATTAGAAATGTTGCCTTAGCAGTTAACTGAAATAAATTAGGTTAAGGTAAATAAAATGACTAAAAATAAAACTTAAATTAAAATAAACAAATGATAAATAGATATATAATAGATATTAAAAAAACTAACCAATACAAATGTCAAAAGCACATAACAAAATTACTAAGACTTAAAGTAAAATGAAAACTGAAAATATAAAAAATAAAAGCTAATTCGAATACTGTAATAATATAAAATAATACTAAAAGAACACTGATTCAATTATAGTTTTATATATTATTTTACTAAAATTGGTACATGAAAAAAAACATGATTTATTATTATTATTTTTATATTTTAGCTTATATCCACCACCTAGACCACCTGCACACACAAATAAAAAGCTTTTTTTTAACTGGGTATCTATCACTTTTCACAAAAATAAAAATAAAATAAAAAATAGTGCTTATCCTTTCAACATCAGCTTTACAGAAAAGAGTGTCTTAGTCCCCCCAGTGAGGCGACTATTACAAGAAACATTTTTTTTTGCAATTACTGTTTACTTTCATGTCATTTAGCTCCTTCAGGTGTGAACAGGCCTTTACTCAAGGTCTCAAGGGTCATTTAACAACGACAGGTCTGTGTGTTATACGAGCACTAGAAATAAACCTTAGAAGGAAAGTAGATTTCCAGGCATAGAATAGAGCAACCTCTGTATTATAGCCTTGAACCTGCTTTAGTACATCCTTTAGTAAATCATAATAGATGTGGACATCCATCTAGACTGATATTAAAGAATGTAAACCAAAGGCCACCCAGATGTCACAAAATAGATGCTGAGCCAAAGCAAGTTATCTTCATAGAGCTTAATGGTGCGGCAGAGACAAATGGCATTGGAAAACAACACCACTGCACCGTGTCCCACGCAAAACATCAAGAATTAATGGAGTAGTGCAATCAGATTGTATGCTTATGCTAGACTAATTATTATAGATGCAGGAAAATTAACTAGAGCACATTAGTCCTCAAATCTGACACTTTAGATACTGATTACAGCTGATAAGTGTTTAGGTTACTTATGAAGACTGATACGTACCACTGGGCCACGGCGTCCCTGTTTGATATGCGACAGGTCCGGTGAGGGCCCCATGGGCCCCATGTCGCCTCTAGGACCGGGCATGCCTGGTGGCCCCATTTGTCCTGGGGGACCAAGGGAACCTTTGGGTCCTGAGCTCCCTGAGAGAGACATAAAAAGAGACAGGTTTACAGAAGAGTGGCATTGGGAAAAGAATGGAGAAACAGAATAATAAGCAGCATATCAACAAAGCTCACCTGCAGGGCCAGGTGGCCCTGGAGATCCAGGTAAGAATGAGTGCGTCATCATCATCTTTTCACTGGTCATCTGTTTATTGACCTCTGTGTTGCACGGCAACAAGGCAATCTGATGAAAGAAGAGTTAAACAAAACACACAGAGCATTCAGGGACTCAGTGTTTCACTCACTATAGTACTAGACAAGACAACAGAAACATGACATACACTTTTTTTTTTTTGGTTCTGAAGCTCAAAAGAATCAAGAACACAAGATTTGCATTCAGTTTTATAGGAACAGTAACCCATAAATGAAAATAAATATCATTATTTGCTCCTTCTAATGCCAATCCAAACCCAAAATGTTGTTAATTCTTTGCTGTAAGAATCTTCAATAAAGAATCTTCATGCTGCAAAAAAATAAATACAAAATAAATAAAATAAAATACAAAATATAAAATAAAGAATATAAAAATAAAAGAAATGAATAAAATATAAAAATAGAAAATGAAATAAAAAAAAATGGAAAAGTAATATAAAAATGATAAAAATAAAATAAGTCACATAAAATTACAAATTATATAAAATAAAATGACTAGTAAAATTAAATAAACATGAAAAATGAAAATACAATAAAATGAAATACAATAAACTAAAAAAAATATATGATTTAGGAATAAAGACTACAAGCCACATATTACTTTTTTCATTTTATGGAATTTTTTGACAGACATGTCACTATGAATGATGTTTATATGGAAAAGAACTGCATTAAGATGTGACATATTCAGTGACATAATGGTGACTAAATTTGGTTAAACTATTCCTTTAAGAAAATGTATAAGGATGTTACTAATCATCTATCAGGAGGGGAAGGCTAAAATATGTAATATTAAAAGGTAGATAAAAGAATTATAATTTAAACCAAAGTAACGTGAGCATGTAATCTGATCTATAAACTGTAACATCTGTGTACATGCTGTTCGCAAAAACAGGAAATCTCTGAATTATTCAACTTGGTGGATGGACTGAGATCAGTGCCTGTCTTTTACAAGCCTTCTTTACAGAGTATTTCACTTCAAAGAACTTGCTGGAAGTATCCATTACCTTCTAACCTCTGAGCTCTGGACATCAGTACACACACACACACACACACACACACACACAGACCTTTGAGGTCTCGCCACACACAGTAGATACAGCCTTAGGCCTAGCGCATAAATCTGTTTAAGTGTCTGTGTCCAGCACTTTTGCAAGCAATTTAAATCTCATTTGTCATTGTTTCTGGTTTTGATTTGTGCTGGGTTCCTTGGACTGCACATATTTTAATCCCATGTTGCTCCGTGTGCCAATGTCAACCACAATGGTCAACCAGTGTCCATTAAACAGTGGAGTCAAATGCCTACATAGTAAACTACCTTCTAAGGCACAATCCTAACAGTCATTAAACCACATAAATGGCTAATTTGGTAAGAATGCTATACTCTGTACTCTACAATAGTTCATTTTGAATTTTACTTACATTTTATAATGATATTGTCAAGTACTGAATTGTATACTGACCACAAATTTTGTGAACTTTTTGATTTTTATTTATTAAATGTTTATAGGTTTTAATGTTGAAGATGCTTTTTAAGCTCACCAAGGCTGCATTTATTTGTAAAAAAACAAAAACAAAAAAACAGTCATTTTGAAATACTTGTAATTTTTTTTTCCATTTTAATATTTTAAAATGTAATGTAAAAAATGCACATATGTTATATGTTTAAAAATGTAATTTATTTCAGCTTGAATATTATTTTATTCTAAAAAGTTTGAAAGAACAGCATTTACTTTAAATGGAAATCTTTTGTAATATTTTCATCAGTCATCTTTATAGTCATTTTTGATCAATTTAATGCATGCTTGCTGAATAAAACTATTATTTCTTAAAAAAACACTTTCTAATCAAGTATATTTATTATCTTGGATTATTTTTTACTGAGCTTTTCTCATTGCATTCTGGGACTGCATTCTTCACAAAGACATCTTAAAAAGCAAATATAATTTCAGCTATTTAATGGATTTCAATAATCTAATCTATTCTAATCTAAATTATCATAATTACAGCATTTGCATTGGAAGATCGCTAGTTTTTGGAAGAGAACTTGATGAGGCAAAAGGTAAAGAAAAGAAAGAATTTCATTTCATTAAACTGAAATAACAAAAACATTAATAAATCTAAAAATAAATTAATAAATAAAACTTGAGCAAGCCAATATCTCCTCTTCCAAACAAAACAATGGGGGGGGAAGTTACAACAACGGTCAAAGAAACGATTCATAACAATCATATCAATGTTTTTGTTCTCCCAGAACCATAAGCCTTGCCTCACTCTCACTAGTTCAATACATTTTTTGCTCTCAATCTTTTTCCTCATAGTCTGCTGGACCACACGCACAAGAGCTATATATCACGCCGTGACCATGAGGGTGCTGAGTGGATTTGTTGACAGTCTCGCTTTGACTGCAGAACACTGACTCTGCGCCCTCAGCCCGTCTAAACCGCATCACTGCATTCAACGTGATTTACTAGCCTGCAGCAAGGACAGACATAAGTCACACTACCAGATCGCTCAGCTGTTCGGCCCGTGCTTTATTGCTTTTTATTTCGCCTGTAAAGTCACCAACACATCCCTGAAGACTTGTATAACCTGAGTCTGACTTGCTCGTGAAACATTGGCAGGTAGGTTCTTGTTGGGTCGACTCGCGTCTACGGAATAAAAACATGCATATAAAAGGAAATATGCTGCTTGTTTTAGCGAATAAGCCCAGCAGGTGGAACTGGAATAGGGCACCTTCTGTTTGAGTTGGAGAACGGTCATCTTCATCTGATGGAAGTCTTCACATGTGGCCGAGCACGTTCTCTCTTTCATGACGTTGTCTGACTTCTCAAACAGTGGAGCTGCAAAGAGACAACATGAATGTGGAAGTTAAGAAAGGTTGATGGACAACGCTAAAACGAATCAGCTGCTAAGCAAAAAAGTTAAAACATGATGGCAAAAGCTGAGAGAACTATTGATTATCAATACACATATTTAATGCAATACAAAAGTTCCCAATGAAAGCAATTAAACATTTTTTTTTAAATGGACTGTTGTACCCAATATGTGTCTATGTATTTTTATGCTTAGTGTAATGCATCTTAGTTTAGCAATATGGTAACATCAAATTTCAATGAAATCAGTGTTGACCTTTGTGAAAAAGAAGTACATTTAAGCATACTTTTAAAAAGAGTAATAATAAAGTTTAAAATAGTATACTTAAGAGTGAACTGAATGTAATGATTTCAGACACTCAATTGCATATTTACAATCAAGTTACAATATATTATAGTTAAAAATTATATTAAATACAATTAGTTAAGAGTGCTTCTTTGACTCGCTTAAGTATGCAATTTCAATGGCATTCCTTAGATTGTGTTTGAAATATTATATGTGCACTGTCAAATTTACTGACAAGCATTTCTTGGAAACCAAAATATAATTAATACAATTTCTACTGAAATGGTCATGTCTTTAAATATATATTTGTAATTACACAGTTGCAATGAAGCTGCAATTTAGTACATTTAAAATATATTTTTAATTATTAAAACAATGAAAAATGTACTTTTAAGTAAAACTTTCACTTTTTTAAAGTGCACTTTTAAATACACTTATATGGCCTTTTATTTCTTTCATATCATATCTGAAAGTAGAGCAATTCAACTAAAATACTTTTAAGATTGGGAATTCACAACAAGTGCACATTCAATACAATTAAGTGCACTTAAAAATGGGAATCTCCAATATGTGGCATGTAAGGCTTATAAGATTCCATAGACATCATGGCAGCTCTCAAGGTTTTGAAACAGAGCTAATGTTGCCATAAAACGGTGTCATAAACTTATAACAGGGATTTGAAGTCTTGCTCAAGGTCACAATGGAGGCTCACTCCATACATGCATCATCAGAAACATACTAGCTCCTGATCGGAATGTACTAACTACTGTCATTCCTGCCAGAAGTCTGCTGAGCTATATCACCATCACTCCTACAGCTTAGTTTGACTCACAGCCGATAACCTCATTTGATCCACACACTGTAATCTCAGTGGTCTGGAATTCCCAGAATTCCTTTTTCGTACATCTGGATTGTTGCAATCTTGTTTCGTGCTCAAATTGACCCAAAAGAGAGGAAACCACAGTCAGGAAACTCTGAATGACTGATACGCTCCACAAGAAAGCCTAAAAGATAGATGGACAGAGGAGTGGAGAGGAAGGAGTGATTGATGCTAATGCTAACCGCTAGCTTGTGTCCCAAGTCATTAACCGCGATGGGTCAGTGGACTTCCTGCAGGGAGACAGGAAGCAATGCCTTATAAATGTGTCAAACCAGAAGAGGCTGCAGAATGGATTATTTTTTTTTTTTTTGTAAATAGCGAGGAGACTAAGATCAAAACCATATCTGACATGAAATGAATGGCCCTAAAAATGTTATGTAATTTATAATATAAATGTATGTAATATGTTATGTATGTAATTAATAATTTGTGGGTACGGAAAGTATTCAGACCCCCTTACATTTTTCACTCTTTGTTATATTGCAGCCATTTGCTAAAATCATTTAAGTTAATTTTTTTCCCTCATTAATGTACACACAGCACCCCATATTGGTCATAAATATGCCATAATAAATAAATAAACAATTCTATTAATAATAATAATAATAATAATTGTTGTTTATATAAATGATTAATATAATTATTAAATATAAAATATAAATAAATAATAATTTAATTTATAATTTAATCATTTATTAATAATATATATGTATCTTAAAATGATATGCATTTTTCACATTTATATGACATCTAATAATGCTAAGTAAATGAATAAATTAATAAATAATTACTTTTTCTTATAGTTTTTAATAATTGTAAAAATAATTATAATATTGATATATATTTTGACACTGGAATTATTCAGATACAAAAAAGAAACTTAAATTTTAATTTAACATCCACCCTTTCCACTTGGCTTATTTTCTGTACATGTTTTTTTGTGTTTGCACTGCTTTAACTGGATGATGCATTCATGACCTGTCAGAGCATTTAGACCATACTCAATCCTTTCCACACCTGTGTGATGGAGAGATCTGTGGATGGTCAGGTCCAGACAGGAAAAAAATATCTCTGGTTTTCTGTGCTCTATTTAAAACCTCAAAACGCATGTGATTCGCCTTTTTTTGGGCTCCATTTCTGCTGTTTGCTAGAAATGCATTGGGTGAATCAAAGCAGGACTGTCTGTGAGGCTTGCAAAAGCAGCTTCTAATGGGAAAGCAGCTCTCAAACTGAAAAAAGAAAAAATCACATAAAAACTGTGGAAATGAACTTCAATCCCATGAAGCATTACGAACTACATGATAAAAAACACGGCTATTCAATACAAAACTACTGACTAAAAACCACTGAAACAGAGTATAAAAATGTATAAGTTCATGACAAAATTCTTCACCAAAACACATGACTGCCAAGTTGATTCATTACCTTTTACATGTTAACAACGATTTCTCTGGATCTCGCTACAGTAATTATTTCAGCAATTACACTTTGAAAGTCTGAAAGAGGTGTCTGTGAACAGTTTCAAGCCATGAACAGGTTTATACGTCCACAAAAGTCTGGGAAACTCCAAACTACAGAAGAAAGACCAAAAAGAAAGCGAGCAAGCTAAAGTAAAAGAACAAAGAGTGTTGCTGAGAAAGACAAACAAAGATTCAGAGAATATACACTCACCTCGCTCACCCTTGGTGCATGTTTTCCCATCATCCTCTAGGTAGAAGCCTTTCTCGCACTCACACCGGTAGCTGCCGGGGGTGTTCACACAGATCTGTGAGCACACCGTCTCGTTATTGTTGGCACATTCATCAATGTCTGACGCAAGAACAGAGAGTGAAAGTGTGAGGGACGGAAAGTTGGCAAAGTGCAAAAGACGGGATGTTCGCTCCTGGGGCGGCATGGAGCGATTCTGTCAGATCAGCCTGATAAACAAAATTTGACTCCCATCAAATCAACTTAACACTTGGGAGGTCAGACCCTTTAAGAAACACTGATGCTGTCATTAAAAAGGTATTGAAAAATCAACCCTGTGAACTAAAAACAACCCATAGAGTATACTAACACATTTACTAAAATAGTAAAAATATAAAAATAAAATACAAATAAAATGGGTAAAATTCTATATCCATCATGCAAATTTTTTAAATAATCTAATTATATTTACATATGATCTATCTATCTATTAGGAGTGGAACGGTTCGTGGAAAAAAATCGAACCGTACGGTTCTCCACACACGGTTTGGCATGCGCTAGGACCGCGGTTCAACTTAAATCTGACAACGCATCTGTAATATGGGTTGTTTGCTATAACACATAAAAAAAACAGGGTTCGGCTAATATATGTTTCTGTTGATAGATGCACATTCTGGCTTCGCACACAGGTGAGACCTGAACAGAACACGTTGATATCTGTGCTAAACTAAACTCATTTAAGCTTTGCCAGTTTAAACATTTAAGAGCCAGTTGTGCACGCAGTGAGAAGATTTGTGCATGCGCTCATTCGAAGCGTGCAAACCCGCGCCTCAGAATGCGTGCAAATATTAAGCTTTCTCTGAAGTATTGTGTTTAAATGGACAAATTCACACAAAAATTATGTCAAAATGCCCGTCTTGGTAAGTGTCCTATAGCAGACATAGCAGACTGAACGTACTGTATCAGTGCACTGGATCAGTGCATTCTCTTAAAGGGACAGCACTTTCTTAATATCAAACAGCAACAACAAAGAAATCACTCACTGCTCTTGATTGAATAGCTTTTGTAACTTTAATAAAGATTCATCTTTAATTTATACAGTCAAATATGCAATGCTGTTTTACATTTTATTACTTTATGCAATTTCTGTACCTGAAAACTAATGTTAGACATACCTAAAAAAAAACTGAAAATCACTGTTATTTGTGCTGTTGCTTGTAGTTAGATAGATTATTCTTATTTTCTTTATTTTTATTTGACAGTATAGTTTTTGCCTAAACATAGTGCATACCGAACCGTACTGAAACCGTGACTCTAAAACCGTGTCACAAACCGAACCGTGAGTAAGTTGAACCGCTCCACCCCTACTATCTATCTATCTATCTGGAAAAATTAAAATAAAATGGGTAAATGTACACTTTAAACCTCAAAAAATAAAATAAAACAAAACAAAACAAAATAAAATAAATTTACATACAGTTATGCTGAAGAGCAAAATGGTATATTATCATAATCAATTTTTTTTTGTTTGTGATTGATGCATTCACAACTGAATTTCTTTGCAATGTTTCAGTTAATGAAGAGAGTGTAACTTTGGGCAGGTGCTCGATCATGAAACCCTTCACAGTCAATAAACAAAAATTAGCACACTGCCAATACTGCTCTCCAAAATTTATAAAATCACAACATTTTGACCCTAAGGTCTTCATCAGGCAAAAGAAACCTGAAAAAAAATATTTTTTTTGCCTGATGAAGACCTTAGGGTCGAAACGATGTGATTTTATAAATTTTTGAGAGCAGCAGTGGCAGTGTGCCGATTTTTGTTTATTGACTGTGAAAAGTTTCAGTTAACGCCAAACCCTGACTAACACCGCAATATATTGCATATGTATTCAATATACCTAATGAAGTACACTGTTCTCAATATCTTAATATAAATAAGAGCAAAATCTTACCCAGGCAGTATGGTTTCTCGCGGTTTCTGTGTCGTTCCCGGTCATAGCGATACCCAGGGTAACAGGTGCACACCACACGACCGAAATGATCGGTACACTGCTGTTCACATGGGGCGCCAGCGCACACATCATAGTCTGCATATACAAACACGCCCACAAACAAACAGAAACAAACATGACAAGAAAGGAAAGTACAAGACTATAAAATAAACAAATCTAGCTTTAAATCAAAACCCACAATATAACTGTCATTTCCAAAAATCATATGCAAATGTGCTACTTCAAACGTCTTTTCCCTTTAGTTTCATTATAATAGTAAAAACAAAACTCTGCAATCTGGGAAGCCAGTATTGCTAGTTCCAGCCCAAGAATTCTCGCATCTTTTCCTTATTCCACAGTTTCTCCTAGAAGAGCCAAACCATCTCAGACACAGCATGGAGCGCCATGTGAGTCAGGGAAATATGTATCCATTCTCAGCCGTTACTTTATGTGTTTCTCATCAGCGGAGAGAGGGCAGGTAAGGACACCAGAGAACACAAACAGCTCAGAAACAGAAAAAAGCCTTTAAAAACAAGCTGTAGACTGTCCCAAAGGGGACCACTATACACTCTCTCAATGTGGCATGGGGAACCGCAGAATGCAGACAATATAATTGCATGTTTTTATTTGACAGTTACGAGTAAAAACTGGTTTGAACCCCTCAACCAAAAATCTAGAAGTATATTACTGTATTCATAAGCTAATATACAGACCTGTTCCCACTATAAAAATACACACGAGGTAATCAAGCTATCGTTACTGGTGGGGAAACTCTGCCAAGCTCTTAAAGGTGTGCTGGAAATGTTAAAACAACAGTAAAGGCACTAGCTGAGCGGTTTCCAAAAGGAATGATTTTATTTAGAATGCTAATGGGAGACGAGGGAAAACACATCCAGAAATATCAGAGCAAATTCAACCCAGAGGAGCCTAATCTGAGTAGGAAGAGAAAGAGAGTGAGGGAAAGAGGTCTTACCTTCTGGAATACACTGTCCCAGTACAAACTTAAAACCTTCACAGCACTTCTTTCTGAAAGAGAGAAGAAAAAAAAAGAAATACATTTATATTTTCTTCAAAATTGTGATTAAGCGTTACACTTGATACTAGGCAATTACAGATGGATGTCAGGATGTTGCTATACTACCAATCAAAAGTTTGGGGTTAAGATTTATTTATTTATTTTTTTCAAAAAATTTATATTCTCATTCAGCAAGGACACATTTAATTGATAAAAAATGACAGAAAAGCAGAGCTGGGTAGATTACTTACAAATTTTAGTCCATTACTGATTACAGATTACAGGACGAAAACTGTAGTTAGTAATGTAATCTAGGTTACTCATTTTATGTAATGTATTGTGACTACATTTTAGATTACTTTGAGATTTTTTGCTCTGCAGAAAAGATATGTTACAAAAGAGTTTATTTCAGATAAATGTTATTTTAAACTTTCCATCAATCGAAGAATCCTGAAAAAGTTCTATATAAAGTTGTGCATGGTTTCAAATATTACGCATTAAGCATCAAGACTGTTTTCAACATTGATAATAAGAAGATATGTAATATCTATCTATATAATAAGAATTCAAGCTTTGCCAACACATTTAAAAAAAAATGTAAATACAAAAATAATATTTGAAACTTTAATAATCGTACTGTTTTTAGCATATTCTATTCTTTAAAAATATAAATGCAGCCTTGGTGAGCATAATAGACAAAAGAGGGGGAAAAAACCTTTTGAACAGCAATTTAAGTGGTTGGATGTGATTCCTGGGTAGTTGCAGTAGTTGCATACAGGCCCATTTCTTAAAACCTAATCATATTTTTTCCCCACCTGTTTTATCATTTGCCAGGAAAATCAAAAGTGCTTAGAAAAGCATCAAAGCAAATCTATCTTCAACAAGCTTCATGTTTTGAGGTATCATCCATATCTGTAGCACAAGCAAACTGGGTTTTTTAATACTCAGGGATTTGGGTTTATTCAAACCTCCAACTAAACGGATGAGCAATAATAATAGTGATGCTTGCCTAAGAAACTCCAAGGAAAAGACAGAACCGTGGCCTCAATCCAGTCTGAAACAAACTTGCATGAATTATTAATGTGACTCTTCTGTTTTTGCGATTTTCCTAATCGTATTTAATTTGAAATCCATGTCCACAATACGAGACAGACAAAGTGAAGGTCCAAAGGGAAAAAAGGTGTTTTTTTTCTGGACAGTGATGGAAAACACCTTCAAGGTAAGACAGTAATATTCCCCCAAACTTTTCCCGCTCTAAGTGGTCATCGTGGAGATGTTCCTCTTTCGGGAATGACAAGGGAACAACTCACAAGCACTAACAGAAATGATTCATTTCAACACTATGCTTCAATGATTCCCAAATGTTTCAATGCTCAAAAAAGACAAACTAAAAATACAACGGGGGGAAATGGAATTTGGATATTAAGTAATGGTGATATCCTTTCCAACAGTATTACTCACAAATTTTGTGGAACTGTTTAGTCTAGTCTGCCAGAGTAAGCTCTGTTGGTCTAATCTGGAAGCAAACTAAACAACAATGCTTAAATGGTGCATATTAAAAAAGCATATCAGCATGTTAAACAATTAAATGCACTGGTTTACAAGTTCATACGATTATAAACAGCTAATATATTTCCATGCAATCACTTTTACAGTCGCAGACGAAGTAAGGGGTCTGAGCTGGGCAACGGTGGGCTGGTATGGTTTGAATCATGGGAGCTGTTTAGGTGGTCTGAATCACACAGGAAAACTTTATTGGTTTGTTTGATGTTCGAGATGAAAATATCGGGAACTACAATCACTTACAAATCTCTCTCACACACACAAACCTACAACCAAACACAGTAAACCCTCTCAATATTAAGGGGCACCATCTGTATCTTGAAAAAATAATAAATACACATAAAATAGACTTCAACTACATGGAACCATATGAAATTCCGTTACAGAAACGAAACTGCAAGATCTAAATATTGAAAATTTTGATTAAGGAGTGGAGAAATCACTGATAATTAAAGAATATTTAAGAACCACGACTTGGCATTGAACTTAATAGACTTGAAATACTGACTACATTAGCTTGTTTTCAGAGAGACACGCAGTCTTTCCACACCACACTATTCTTTTTTCCTGCTTTATGTTGCCCAGAGCTAATGAGTGTCTTTGGAGTTCCCTCCAAGATAAAGAATTTTCCCACGCTAACAAGAACCTGCAGCATTCAGGCTACTGAGATGCAGACTCTGGGTGTTTGTCCCTTTCTAAACTCCTAATGAAGGTTTCAAAAGCGATTTTAAAGTTTGATTCCATAGCGATACATTTTCACTCTTGATGTCAAAGGAGAAACTTTTGAAGTTATGATGCGATAGAATTAGAACTATGATGAAATAATAGAACCTCTGAATGTTCTTATGATGCCATAGGAGAACCTTTAACCTTTTAATGGTTGTTTATCTGTGTTAATGCTTCAAATAAATCTATGTAGCAATAAATGCTTTTTTTTTTGTTGGCAAAACTATTCATTTTTACTCTCTTATGAACCTATAAATGTAAAAACACTTTATAATAAAATGACCAAAATAGCATAGCCAATTACAAAAACCCTATATAGTATGTATAAATAAATAAATAAATAAATAATTTTATTTATTTTTTGCCAAAGAAGCTTAATTTTTAAGCTTTTACACATTAACCTATAATGTAACAAAACTTTTAATAAAAAAAAATCCAAATTACAAGGACTTGATTAAAAAAATTGGTCCCACTTTATATTAAGTGGCCCTAATACCTGTGTACTTACATAGTAACTAGATGTGTACATAGTATGTAACTAGTGTAAGTACACATTGGCACATAGTATCTACAGCTGTAATGTTTGTGTAACTACACATATGTAACAACCCACTGAATGGTATGTGTAAATACAAATGTGTAACAGGACATTGGTAACAACACTTTTTGGTAATGAAAGTACAAACGTGTAACAGGACTAACAGCTAGGCCTGTCACGATAACAACTTTTTGTTGTGCAATATATTGCCCCAGAAATAATTGCGATAAGCGATATTATTGTCATTTTAAATACCGTTTTATGCCACTGAATATATAATCATAATGTAACAGCATAATAATGCAAGAAGGCCAACACACTTCCAAATGACAACAAACTCAAATTGTTTAAGAATATTTAGATCATGGAAATTAAGTATCAAAATATTAGATACCTTAAAAAACCTGAATAAATAGTAAATAAACATTTTCTAACAAAAAGTGCAAAGTAACAAGTAGAAAAAAAAGAACTTGTATGGATATTTTTCCATCTACAGATTTTCCCCTGATCTTCTTTTCTCTGTAAATTAAGAGTGCACAGCACTATTGCTGAAAAACACAATCTCTACTTAGCAGTCAGATGTCCGTATGCACAAAGGCACAGATCCCTAAACAAGGCCATATCTGCAGATGAAACTTTTTTTGTAGAAGCATTTTTTAAATGTGAACTAGCACATCATGACTACACCACGTTATGTACAAGAAGCTGCAAAAGACACAGGCGCAAATGGAATGTACAAAACATAGTGACATTAATTTTTAAGTATATATAATGGGCGATATATTGCGTCACCAAAAATTATTGAGGTCATGTACATATATTGCGCCATAAGTCGATATATTGATTATTGCGACAGGCCTCATCCAACTCCTCCCACTATACATATCCCTAAACCTACCCATCTCCACCCCCTGGATCCCATTTCCACCCCTAAACCTTCCCACGCCTGGATCCCATTTCCACCCCTAAACCTACCCCGCTCCACTCCCTGGATCCCATTTCCACCCCTAAACCTACCCATCTCCACTCCCTGGATCCCATTTCCACCCCTAAACCTACCCATCTCCACCCCCTGGATCAATATATACATATTGTTGTTACAAAATGTAGTTATATATGTCCTGTTACACATTTGTACTTACACAAACCATTCGGAGGGTTGTTACATGTGTGTAGTTACAGAAATATTACAGCTCCAGATAATATGTACCAATGTGTACTTACACTGTGGTTACATACTACGTACACATCTAGTTACTATGTAAGTACACAGGTTTTAGGGCCACTTAATAAAAAAAAGTGGGACCAAAAAATTAAAGGGATAGTTCACCCAGAAACAAAAATTCTGTCATTAATTACTCAACCTCATGTTGTTCCAAACCCGTAAGACATTTGTTCATCTTCAGAACACAAATGAAGATATTTTTGATGAAATCCGAGAGCTTTCTGACTCTACATAGAGCACTGACTCTAATCTGCAGGGTCAGAAAGCTCTCGGATTTCATCAAAAATATCTTAATTTGTGTTCTGAAGATGAACGAAGGTCATGGTTTGGAATGACATGAGGGTGAGTAATCAATGACAACATTTTCATTTTTTGGTGAACTATCCCTTTCCTGTGATCTAATACAGTATGTATATTGTTATAAGACTTAACACCTCTGACCCTCCCATTGACAGCAAGTATCCTTACACGATCAAGGTCCAGAAACATAGAAAGGAGATCGGTAAAATAATCCATGTGACATCAGGGGTTCAACTGTAATTTTACGAAGCTACAAGAATACTTTTTGTGCACAAAAGAAAAAAAAACAACTTTATTCAACAATTCGTCTCACCTGGCGCCATTTTGGAGAGTATCCACTGAACGTAAACTACGTATGCTGTTCTGTGTCAGCTGCGCCACGCGGAAGTATTCTATTCAAAAAGTATTCTCGTAGCTTCGTATAATTACTTTAAAGTGAAGTGACATGTGACCAAGTATGGTTACCCATACTAGGAATTAGTGCTCTGCATTTAACCCATCCTAAGTGCGCACACACACAGCAGTGAACACACACCCGGAGCAGTGGGCAGCCATTTATGCTGCGGCGTCCGGGGAGCAGTTGGGGGTTCGGTGCCTTGCTCAAGGGTACCTCATTCGTTATATTGAAGGTGGAAGAGAGCACTGGTTATTCACTCCCC